GAGAGAGAGAGAGAAACAGACAGATAGACAGAAAAAAATTCAAAGAAATAAGAAGGTTAAAAGAGAAATTTCATACGTCAAGAACTAATCGAAGATTGTAACCTTGATGTAAACTACGTTCTTCCCTCTCAAATGAAACTAATTAATGAATTCACAATCAACTCAAAATATCGTCTGCGGAAACATCAAACGCGGAAACTTCCAACGATCTTAAAATATCTTAAAAAAGGTGAGTAAGAAAGTAATATTCCTATCCGTCGTGACACCATCAACCTTTAACATGATTAACACGGTCTTTCGAAGTGGAAATTAAATGATCATTCTTTCTCAACGTGAAACGATGTGATAGGAAGAGAGGGAGGAAATGATTAGCGTAACTTACATCAATTGCAGTAAAAAGTTGACTATATTTAACTTAATTACAAAATTTTTTATGCAAAGATTAATACTATGTCGACAGTATGGAATAAAATCATGACCTCTTGAGAACAGACTCAATGAGCAGAAAATTCAACAGAAAATTTTTGTTTTAAATATACGCACAAAAACAGTACATTGCGATTTAAATTTAATTAGAATTCTTGTCAAAGTATAATAAATCTTGTCGTTTTCTATTATTAACTCGTATTAAGAAAAATTTAATAAATTTTCAAAGATTTAAATCACTGAACGAAGTTGATACAAATCACAAAATCACGTATATTTTTTTCTGAATTTCTTTTTTATTAATTTATTTTTATTTACACTAATAATATCCATGTAAATTTTCAGATAATTGCAATATTTAAAGAAAAGTTTTAAAAGTTTATCATAATAAAAGCGTATATATGTCGCGTTATATGTCGCGTGATCTTTATGCTATGTAAATTGTTATTAAGTAAATTATTTTAACTGCGCAGAAGTTAATTGGAGTCAAAAGTCTTAGTACAAAAAATTAAACTCATGATAATTTTATCATTATAAGCGATTAAAGTTGGTGAGTAGAGAATTCACGCTCTCAAAGCCATAATACACGTGTAAACATATCGATCGATCCATTAATTTTCATAGTTCAGTTGATGATTTTATTATGCAATTATTTTTATCTCCTTGCTTGTTATGTCGACAGATATTGCGTAAGCTTTAATGAATATTTAATATTTATACAGCATATATATATGTAATTCATATAATTATTGTTACAAAAAATTAAACTTCGAAACGATATTCTATTTGCGAATATTATTCTGGATAGAAAATGTGTGAAGTGCGCAAGAGCAGAATATTCGTACAAAGAAAGGATCAATAAGACACGATGCATATTCTTGTGCCGTCAAATTGATTAATGTTAAATTTATCTCTAAAATTACTGTTGCTATTTATAAGTGTCGCCTACAATCGCCTCTATAGGCAGCTTAATATGTGCTCCAACAATTAATGCAATATCACCGAAGTAACATAAGAATATCTTAGTTATATTGCAGAAATATTGCTGGAAAAAATATTTTATGCTTTATTGAGTTGGCCAAAAAATAATTTCATTTCTCTCTGTGTAAATGAAAGACAAATTTTTCATGAAAAACAAAAAATTTTCAATCAACAATACATTTTGTCCATTTTGTTCGATTATATTTTGCCATCTTTTAGGCAACTTTATGTGATTCAAAAAAGTTCTTATCTTTTTTAGCAAATTGTTCCAAGAGTAATTTGATATCCTCGTCAGCAGCAAGTTTCAGCATTTAACATTTGCGTTTTGCAAAAAATGAAATAAATAGTAATCAGATGGCGCCAGGATTATAGATGTGATAGCACATTCCATTCAAGTAATAATTTTTGACGAGTGAATACTTTTGACTAAACTTGTATGTAGTCTAGCGTTATCCTGATTAAACACAACTTTGTGATTCACTAATTCTGGACGCTTCTCTTTGATGGCATGACTTAATAACATCACTTAACTTATCCAGTTGATGACAGTCATGTATATGTCCGAATTAATGGTTTGAATGGTCCTTGGAAACAATTCAAAACACAAAATTCCTTCGAAATTTCACCAGACTGATAGCATTATCTTCCTTTGATGAATATTTGCTTTTGAAGTGCTTTGAGCACTACATTCCTCGATCTTTTCCATTCGATGTCGTAGACGATCCATTTTTCATCGCCTGTTACTATATGTTTCAAAAATGGGTCGTTTTTTTCATGTTTTTTTCATGTTTTTTTCGAGAGAGAATCGTTAATACGAGAGATGTCAATACCCTTAGTGAGATGAATTTCTTTGAGCTCATGAGATACCCAACTGTCGAGTTTACTAATGTATAAGTTGTTTTAAATGGTTTTCAACGCTCGATTTCAATATATTAAGCAATCTCTCGTGTATCTTATTAAACGTCGATTGGAGTCGATCAATACCTCTATTTTGTCGTCATCAACTTCACTGTTGGAAAAAATGTGTTGAATTTAACATAAATCGCATGTCCCAAACGGTCCACTCAAAATTTTGTGTTAATTTAACATAATGTGGATGTGTTAAATAGTAACACCGACACTATGTTAATATTTCAACAAAAAAGAAATATACTCTTGATCTTAATTTGAAGTTAATTATGTGTTACAATTAACATAATTTTTATGATAAAATAACATGTCGAGACGCGTCAAGATTCGAAAATGTGCCGAAACTACACAAAGAATAATAACAAGCCATCCCCACTCCTGTTATAGAGTAAAACCAATATTTTTTTTGTGTAAATTTTAACATATTGAATAAATACGTACGAATTGTGTTATTTTAACACATTTCTTAAATCATTTTAATAATTTTACATTTTATATTTGTTTAAGGTCAATTAACGTAGTAGACATGTGTTAAATTTAATATAAATTTTATTTAATATAAATTATTTAATGTAAATATGTAGGTTATTTATAATACAAAAATTTTTAACAAGGACCGATTTTAACACAAATACAAAATGTTTTTTACTGTGTTCGATTGGTCTCCCTGAGCGTGGTGCATCTTTAACATCGAAATCTACAGAAATTTTGCAAATCAATTCTGACATTGTCGTAATTTTAAGACATCTTCACTATACACGTCACATAACTTTGTATAAGCTTGCACAGCGATTTTTCCTTTTCGGAAGTAATAAAGTAAAATATTACGAAAATGTTCTTTTTGATTTTCCATAAAATCAATGCCAAATAAATACTTTTTAACGAAATCATGTACGTTTTTTTTTTCTAAAACAACCTTGAACCTCTATAATCTATCAGGATATATAGTGAATTTAAAATGAAGTTAGTTATATGACGAGAAATGTATTGTCAACTATTAGGAAAAATTATTTTTTGGCCAACCCATAGGTAGAAATATTCCATGTCCTAAGACAAAACCGACAATGTTAGTCGGTATTCGATGTTGCTTTCGTAAAACTCGAGTCATGCTGTATTTATAGCGACTACCAAAGAAAATTGGTAGGCCAACGAATTCTTCATTCACCCATGTTGCAAAGTAATATTCGTTGCAATGCAATACAATTCAAATGTTGCAATGTTGTTGCAATATTGTTGCAATATTATATGGAATATATTATGAGTATTTATACTATCTACCTAAAAATGAATTATCAATAAATATAGATGTAATAATAAAATGTATAGAAAAAAAAGTTAACTCTAGTCGTTATTGAAAGAATAATTGAAGAAACGCGGGAAAAAACAAAATATAAGCGATAAAAGAATATGAACGTGCAACTTTTTGTTATGTATTTAGATTAATATGAAAGATTTTTTTGTCACATTTGTAAAGTAAAATTGAAAACAAATTTTTAACAGAAATGACGCAAAATTACCGCTACGAACTTCATTTTTTCATCCAGGGAGAAATTTTTCAATTCCAAAGAACTGTATTTTTTAAATTTTAATATAAAAAATAATAGAAAATTGACAAACTATTTAAGTTTAATAAAAGAGGGAATGTTTTACGTTGTACACACATTTTGTATAAAAAAAATTAAATTCCCCTCATCTCTTTTACAATACATAAATAGCAATAGTCAATAGGCGATTTAATTATTATATTTTCTACTTATTATTGTTTGATCTTTTTTTCTCAAAAATTTATACTTTTCTATAATATTTTCTTTAATATAAAAATAATAGAAAATTAATAAATTATTTGATTGACTTAAAAAAAGGAGAACTTTTCGAAATGTACATATTTGCATTAAAAGAATTAAATTTTCCTTATCTCTTTTGATATATAAATAATAGTGAATACAGATGAACTAATTATTGCATATTTTCCTTATTATTATTTCCTTCTTTCAAAGAACCTATAGCTTTTCTGGCTATAATATAAAAAAAATAATGAAAAATTGAAAAAAATTATTCAATCAATTTAGGAAAAAAAGTATTTTTCATGTACATTTTATATTAAAAAAATTAAATCTTTATTTCTTTTGATATATAAATAACAATAGTCAATACAGATGGCAATCAATTGATCTCAATTATTATGTCTTCCTTGTCGTTCAGTTCTCTTCTTTCAAAGAATCATTTCCAGAACTTTAATACAAAAAATAATATAAAATTGATAAATTATTTGATCAATTTAAATAAAAAAAGAGAAGAATTTTTCACGTTTTGTATTAAAAGAATGCAATTTTCATCTTTCATTGATGCATAAATGACAATAGTCAATAGTCAGGCGACTTAATTATTATACATTAGATTCACGCTGCTACCGATCGTTACTTTGTCTCGACCTCGTTAACCGCCAATGTCGGCCTCTGCGTCGATAACAGTTAATCTGAATAATAATCTTAGTATCAATTACAGGACGTATCGTTCTGTCGGTCCAGCGTAAACTCGCCCGTCGCCGGTCGCCGTACCAATAGAATGACATGAATCGAGCTTACGCGGAAAAGGGGGAAGAAGAAGGCACCGATGCCGACGGAGAGGAAACGAGGAGCTCGCGTGGTTCGTGGCAGCCAATCATATTCACGGATTGTGGTCCGACTCGGGCGAGGTGGTGGGGCGATACAGCCAGCTGGTCGCGCGGCGCGGCGCGGCGCGGCGCGGTGTGGCGCGGCGTGGCGTGATGTGGTGTGGTGCGGCACGGCGTGGCGCGGCACGGCACGTTGCGTTGCTCTCGTCACCGTTCGACTGCGTGATCCGCCTCGAACCGGAGTATATCACTCGTAAGATATTTCGTGTGCGCCACCGGGTATCGTCCATCTCACGCGTTTATCAACGATATTGCGAATACGCGCGCAGCGTGTGATAAGGATCCGGG